ACTATTTTTCTTTCTTACTTTATTTTTTTTTAAAAATTCTTATTTAAAAATAAGGTAAATAACTTTTTATAATATTTTTTTTTTTTTTAAAAAAAATTTCATTTGGAAATAAATTGAAACTTTTTAAATGGATTTTCCTTTTTTTTTGTTTTTTTTTTAGAAAAATTATTATTTGAAAATAGGATAAATAAATTAGAAATGATTTTTTAAATAGATTTTTAATCTTTTTCTTTATTTTTTTTAGAAATACATTATAATAAATTAATCAAAAGTTATTTTAGATAAAATTTTTAATATTTTACTTTATTTTTTTAAAAATATATTTTATATAAATTAATCAAAAGTGATTTTTAGAATGAAGTTTTAATTAATTATTTTATTTTTTCTTATTTTTTTAAAAAATAAAATTCATAAAGTATTTTTTTTAAGAAATTTAAATTATATAAAAATAATAAAAATATAAATTAATAAATTTTAAATAAATATAAATTTGTTATTATTGGTTTCAATTTGCTTAGCCTGATTTTAAGCTAATTTAGATGATAAATAGCTGATTTTAGATTAATTTTAAATATAATAAATAGTTGATTAATATATATTACAATTCTAACGTTTTTTATTTAATTGATTAATTATAATAAAAAATTTTAAAGTTTTTAACTATATTATTATTTAACTATACATTAAAAAAGTAAACAAATTTTAAATCTAATACAAGGTTAAATAATAATAGGTAGTAGTACCAGTTATTGGAATTAAAGGTAATAACTAAGTCGACTTAATAAAAATCATTTAGAGTTGATTTTGGAATTTTCAATGATTGAGCTATTGCTGAGTTATTTTTTCAAATTTGATATAAGATCAGAATATTGTAAATTTTTAATTAAATAAAACTTCAAATTTTTAGTCAAATGGAATTCTTGTTAACATTATTTATGATGAAACTTATAATTATCTATCTTTTTGTCTTTTTGCAATATTAATTAAATTTTAAAAATTTTTGATAAATATTAAGATATTAATAATACAATTATGGTCGCTAATTTCAAATGAGAGTCTTGACTTAGTCAATGGCTGAGTTAATTAAAAAGTCTCTAATGGCTAACTGAGTTAATTCCAGAATTTATCACGACTAATACTACTAATAATAAGTTATTTTAAAGATAGAACTGTAATTAATTTTAAAATTTTTAACTATTTATGAATTTTTATATTAAAATAAATTTTGCAAGAAGTTGCCAGTTGCAATCCTCAAGTTGTAATTTCTTAATTATAGTGTTATTTTTAGTTTATTTAAAAAAAAAATATAATAATTCAAGTATTTTTACTATAAATAATATTTTAAGTATTTCTATTATAAATAATATTTTTATATACAAAATATAGTATAAGTTAAAGCTTATTATTATAAAAAAAAAACAAAAGTTAAAAATATTGAAAAATTTATCAAATATTGGATTATAAGTTTTAGTTTTTATGTATGCTGATTATTTAGTTTTTTAACTAATTGTTATGATATTTTTCAACTTCAAAATTAAATTATAGAATATATTTTACAATAAAAAAAAGATAATAGTGAAATTTAACTTTTAATAAATTTAACAAATTTTATAATATAAGAAAATGAATAAAAATAATTCTAAAAATCTTAATTTTGCTATGTATGAAAAAGAATATTATTATTTAAAAATATATTAATTTAAGCTTAATAGATATAGTGACTTACAATTTTTTTGCTATATATTCAAGAATAATCAATATAAAATTTAAGAAAATTAAGTTCATATTATTTATATTTCTGTTGATAACAATAGATTATTAAATTATATTTATATAAGCATTCATTTTTGCAGATAAAATCTTTAACTTTTACTGTTTAAAAACTAATATATGATATAAACAGCTTATATAAAATAAAACATAACATCTAAATTTATGTAAAAAAAATTAATTATAATCCTTAAATTGATATTTCTATTAATTTTCTTTCTAATAATAGTAGACATAAAAACAGCTATTTAAGATTAAGACATTTATTCCTAAATAAGCAATTATATAACTTATAGGATATAAAAGTATTTAAAGAGGTTATTAAAAAATTAATATAAATCATATAAATCAATAAAATTATATGTTGGATATATTAATTAATATTACTGATAATTTACCTAAAGATGAAAAGTATCAAGTTCAGGATTATTTTACTAATATTAATTTTAAATCAAAAATCCCCTTACAAGAAATTTCAAATTCTTTAGAAATTAATAAACAAACAATTCAAAATCCTATTATACTTTTTCAAATGTTTCATTTTATATTCAAAAATAATTTTATTTTATAAATTCCTTTATAATAAATGTGAAAATTAATTAATAATAAGCATATTTTTCAATTTAAAAGTTATATTAGATCCATAAAAATATAGCTATAGACAATTAATTAGAAACCATGGTATAAATATAATTATTTTTAAACCAAAAAAAAAAAGATAAAAAAAGAAAATCCTTATTTCAGTTATAGATGAAGTTTACAAAAAAATATTTATATTTGTATTATTATAATATATATATAAAATTTTCCTAAAGGTATTTATTTGTTTAGTAATGTTTTCAATTAGTAGACAAGGAAATAAAAGACCATTTCAGGAATATTTTGAAACAAAAAGAAAAGTTGGAAAGACAATAAAGAATTATTAATAAATATTATAAATTTATAAATAAATAAATAATTATAGTTTTGTTCCTGATACATAGTTATTATCGGATAATGAAATTGATTGATCCTTTGTTAAAGATACCAAATTTGGGTCATTTTATAGAATTAGAATAAGTGGAATAAAGGGTTTTCCGTTTGAAATTCATATTGAGTTTCAAACGAAATGGTTTCGAATAATATCGAAAATTGATTAATCAATATATATATATCTTTTTATACTTCTCGAAATTTGGAATGAGAAATATCGATCGACAACTTTGATTCGAAGATTTTTAATTTTATTTATTTCAAAGGAAATCTCATGTTATACTTCTCCATTTTAATAAAAAATTTATTTTTACGGAAAAAAAACACGAGGTACGATAATTAAATTTATTAGTCCGTTGAATCATTTTTAAAAAGATCTTTAACGATACTTAATTTGTGATCTTTAATAGAAAAATTTTTGATTTTTCATATTGCCTATCGACATTTCTAGAAAAATGGAAAAGGATTTCGAATTATTAAATTTACTCTTACGCTTTACTGCATAATCCAGAAAAAATATTCATTCTATAATTTTTTTTAAAAAAAAAAAAAAGTCCCGCGAACAGGAATTTTAAGCGGGTATAGAGGAAATCATTTAAAAACATTTATCGATCAATATTATATTTGTTTTGGATATAAATATATACAAGAATTTAACATATCTGATAGTGTTGAGTTTAAAGTTATGGGAAATAGTAAAAAAAAAAAATCCGTGAAGGAAAAGAGAAATTATAAAGTAGTTAATTTTTTAATTAAACATGAGTAATTTCAATACATTTTACTTAAAAATCACGTAAAATTTGTGGTGTTTTGACCTGAAATCGCGTTCTTTTTTTTTTCTTGTAAGTTACTTGTATAATAATTAGTTTAAAAACGTTTCAAATTAAGGTTGCCAGTTGGTAAACAAAGTTACACAAGGACTCGGGAATAATTGTTTTAATTAGTTTGTCTGAAATGGTGTTAGCACGATACTATAATTACCACGAGATGTTATCCACGAGATTTGTCACGGGAATAATTTACCACGAGGTTTTCTGAAATAATCTATCGATCGATGAACAATAACCTTAAATCGGGAGAAAATTTTACAAGGATCCAGTTCACACTTTTATAATCTATTAAAGAAAATCTAAGGAGTCAAAAAAGAAAAAAAAATTTTTTTTTTTTAAGATTTTTGAAAAAAAATTTTAAGATAAAAAAAAAAAGATTTTTAAAAAAAATGTTGATTAAAAAATGAGCGAAATCAAATTCCTGTAGATTAGATTTTTTTTTTTCATGACCAAAAATATACAGATTTACAAACGGTTAATAAATAAATTAGTTTAGACCCGGCAGACTCCGAGATCTTAGTTCCGGAGACCCGATTTACGTTGCACATTAATAAAGCATTTCGTCGTACGACATCATCGTCCTTGTTTGTTTACAAAATAAAATTAGTAGTTCCGAAATTTCTCTTATCTTTACATTAGTTCCTTCATCACATGGATAAAAAAAGAAGAAAACAACTCATGGCCAAAATATTTACAATTTAACTGATTGGTTATAACCAATCTAGACTCGCGCTCTGCAAATATTTCCCATTATCTTAATAAACTAACGAAAAATTCTCTTGATTACGCGTTCAATCCATTTAGGTTGGTAATGTTATGGGTGGCCACTCAAAATTCATGTAAATTGAAAGTAAAATAAAGAGTAAAATTTTAATGTAAAAAATATTTCTGAATTTAGATAATTAATTTACGGAGTGATTAAGCAAATTCCGGATAAACAAAACTCAATGAAGAAAAAAAAATTGCTGCATATACTACTGATTAGAGTTTACTCCCTTGAAGAACAATAGAAAATATAACTGAGCAATTCTTTTTCTAATATTCCCAAGAGTTTCTACAAGTGTATCGAAATTTCTTTGTTGGGGAAAAAAAAATTTATATTAGTTTTGCATATCAAATATGAATATGTATGAGGCTGTGTGGTAAAAAAAAAAAGGGCAAAGGCAGGATACAAATATAGTAAGGACCTATTTTTTTTTTTTTTTTTAGCAGAAATAAGGCTTATATGCATTGCTAGCCAAAATAGGTGCCAATCTTGATTAGAACAAGTAACAGAATAATGGATTTAATTGTTTGTTTTATGAACATCCTTAACATGGAAATTTTTTTATGGTGAAAATTTTCACGCTACTGCGCATCTGTTGATCATATGATATGATGATCAGACCCCGGGTTTTTTACTTTCAATTTCTTAGCCTCGTCGATTTCATGAGACCAAGGAGAAAAGACGTAATCGGCAGCCTTGAGAACGTAGAAAGAATTTGTATGACTTCACATATTTATGCCAAGTGCATTCAGGAAGCACACACGTGGACGAGTTTTTATTAAAAGAGTTTTACAAAAGTGTCGATTGATGATGTTGCAGATGGGCCTCGGTTCGCTCTCAGGAAAGACTATAAAGAATCCTTTGCTATCGCCCATATTCCATCTCCAAGGGCCTGCGGTGAGAGACGGATTCACGAATATGGGACCACCCACGACTTATTTAAAACAAATTGATGATTAGTGCGATCTCCGTTGGAAATCTTTTTCCTTGATGATTAGTGTCGTCAGTTTTAATGAAATTGAAGCGTTCGTTGAAGTTTTGGGATTTTCGGATTTGTGAGGATGACGAATGGTACAATGATGCGAATCTATCTTTACGCAATCAAGGATGGCTGCGGCACATGGCATTCGAAACCACATGAGTTCCACATGATACAAAAAAAAAATTAGGAACAACACTCCGAGATCGTCACACCTATATATTAAAAACCTGTTGATAAGCAATTCCTTTCCCATTTCGAGCAACCCAACAATGTTTTTTATGGGTTAGATTTTTTTTAACGAATGATATTGGGTCATAGGCTTCGTTTATTCGAATTTACCATTTATCTCCTCTCATGCACGGTCTCCCTAATATCTTCATTAATCATAAATGAAACCTTGGAGTACAATTACGCGTACCTACATTTAATTTCTTTCTCTTACATTAAATTTGTTTGACAATCTTTCTTATCAATACCACAAAAGTTTTAAAATGACGAATAAATCTATATAATGAAATTTCAAACAAAATATTTCCCTGATACAAATCCATAGAACAAAAAGAATAATTAATGGAAGAATTCTGAGGAATAAAGCAACTTCTATAAAAGGAAACCGTCAATAAATATCAAAAAATATATATATAAAAATAATGACCAAAGGAATTTTTTTTACGCATCCACAAATTAACAAATTAATAATAGAATTTCACCGAGTTTTCACCGAGTTAGATCCGAACTTTGTACCACACTCGTGATTCCAATATTTACATTATTCATATGATTATTATATATGACAATTTTTTTTTGAAATTCCATTTTTTGATGTCCGGAATTAATCGTAACCAAAAAAATCACCAAACTCGTGACCAGCGAGAATCATGTGAAAGGTAAAAAAACCAACTTGTTTTTAAAAAAATTCACATCGTCCCGCTTTATTTCTTTATGTTAAGTCATTTGATCATTTATTTTCTCTCACTTGGCGCAATAAGAATTCTCATCAACTCATCCATCCCACTTATCCACACATGGCTTAGCAATTTTCTCGTTTCATCAAAAATGCTATCCTACATCAAGATTCCTTTAATACTTTGGGAAATGATTTTTAATTTCTCGGATAATTTTTTATTCACCTATAACGGAAACCTTTAATAAAACTAAATTATTATAAAGTTCGAAAATGAACTTTTGACAAACCATAACTGCATGTTTATAATTGATTTGTTTACTAAATTTGTTTGAATTTAAAGTTTTTTTTTTGTCTATGACGAATCAATTTTACGATTGTTTAAAAATAATCAGAATAGAAAAAAATAGGAAAAAAAAAAAAAACTAGTTCAAAGAAGTTGTCAATTTGTGATTTTTATAGTGCAGTAATATTTATTCCATATACGGATTTCATTACACCACCCAAATTCGGATTGTATCAAGCAACACAAGATCTTCAACCTATGAGAGTTTCGATTTTATAATTTCTATGAGGAAAGCCTCAAAAAATTATTTACCAACATCAAAAAAGAAATCATGGTATTTAAGTATTTTAGGGAATAATGAACAAAATCTTGATCCTTTACTAGATATGAAAACAAATAAATAAAATGGAAAGAAGGTTATTATGTTGATCATTTTGATTCGATTTAAAGATTTTCTAATTTGAAAAGAAAGAGACAAGTAAATAAGTAAATAACGCGCTTATTTTATTATTTTCGATTTCGAAGGGCGTAGTATCTATTGTTTATGTTTTAAAGAAATTTCTGTTAGGCATCATTCGTACTGGACTTGAAAATAAGAAAACTTGCTAAACCAAATTAAGAGCGTAAAATACAAGCCCTGGCCAATATCCGAATTGTGTGGCGCTCTCCAATTACCCTTTTATACTCAACGACATGACAATCACTTCCCAGACAATAAATCGATTAAGGTTTTTTTTCGCCTCGTTATCTTTATGCATTATCCTACTTTTTTTAATCAAATAATGCAGATATTAAAAAAAAATTTTTTTTTATACACTCGATTATTTGACACATGCATACGTATATAAAATTTGTAACCCCACAATTTTATTTTCTTGATACTCATCCGTGATGATTAATAACTTTTAATCAGTATTAATCGGTTTACTTTGTGATAAGATAATTACTGATTTTGAGTTATTCTAAATCGTTTAACAATGTTGTGTGTGAATATTTCAAGTATATCGTATTATTCTATAAATGGTTAATCATCGATTCTTTATTTGTAAGCAATTAATGCGAAAAAAGAAAGAAGAAAAAGAACAAAGGCAAAGCAAAAGCAAAAGCAAAATAATCACAAGCAAAAAAAAAAGAAAAAAAAATCTATTTTTTTTGAAAGCTTAATGTGACAAACAAAAGCAACAACAATATTTTAAAAAAGATAATAACTGTATAAAATATTATACACGATCGCTCATGTCCATTCCTTTTATCACACATGACCAACGAGATGCTTTGTCCCTTGTCTTAATCATCTATTTGGTTAAAAACTTATCGATTTTATCGATAGGATAATTGCGATTCAGCGGAAAAACATCATATTATAACTCCGGTTAATAATACCATTCAACATTCAAACATTCAAAAAATGTGTTACACTGACTAACGCTAAATCACCTGATTCATCACATTTTTGCTATTTGAATTGGTAAAGTCAAGCGAAAAGTGTTTAGTGAAAAGATCTAGATTATTTGATAAACGGATGATTAACGGGATGTTGTTCGTTTCATATACAAATAACATTTCTTTTGTTTATGTTTGTCTTTGTTGACTCAGAACTAAGAGTAATTGGCTTAATGTCTCACTAGGCTCATTATGGTATATCCCATTAACCCTGGACCAGTCACGCTCGTTTCACTAAATATAAACAGTAAATTTTGCTATTTCGCACTTCATTTTTTTTTTTAGTCTGGTATTTTTTATTCGAAACTTTTTTTTTTTTGGTCTTTCAAAAAAAATAGAAATCATATTTACCCGTTTTACTGGATTTATCTCGCGTGGTTCTCCCTAACGTTTGATGTTCCGTTGATGATTTAAATATAAAATCATGTGAAAAGTGAGAAATGTACCAATTATTGAGTGCAAATTAAATGACGGCGCAGTTAAAGAGATACTCCAACACCAATTAAAATTGAATTCTCAAACTTCCCCCTTAGTTGATTATTTTCTTTTACACAGAATCTTATAAAATGACATTACGAAACCAATACAGATTAGCGTTTGCTGTCAAAAATATTTGTATCTCAACAAGGTGTCAATGAAAATTTTGTATGCGTCCCCCAAAAGGTCCATTGTAATATTCATGTAACAGGATATAGGAATTAATTTAATTAATAATAATATTTTTTTTTTAAAAAGCATGGCATTAATTAATACATATATCGTTTTATTAAATTAGATTAATAAACAAAAAAGTTAAGCTAACTCTACTTGAATAATAATAAGAAAGTTTTTGAACTTAACAAACAAAATAATAATAAATAATATAATGTTTCAAAACTTGATTTCCTACAAACTTAATTTCTCGTTTAGAAATTATATACTACATATATATATATTATATATATGTTGAATTGAAATTCTAAAAAGCATTAAGAATCATATGACAAATTAGGCGTTCGCGACCACCGTTAAATTTAGAAACTCTAATGAGTATTCGTATACCTTAAACACATCAAACTTGCTTCACAACAACGAACTTTTGAATGAAGGACTCATGTGGTATCAAATCACCGCAGTAACCGTGTAACGATTCTACATAATTAAGAAATCATGCGCCATCAACATGTGTAAAGCTGATAAGGCGGCTGATAAACGTGTTTTGTAAATAATAACAATCATTGTTTCTAATGCGTGAAATTTATTTTTCTTTTTCTTTTTCCTTAAAAAAAAGATAGTGGCATTAGCTTTGACAATGTGACGATGATCAATGATGCGCTTATTCTTTCTTCTATTCTCCCTCATCATGGTGCATCGAAAGAACAATAAGAAAATGCAAATCTAAAAAAAAAAAAATATATATATATATATATTGATTTGTGATTTAGCGGGTAATTTCGAATGATATTAAAAGGCATGGTTACGTAAATGCATTTTTTTAAAAAAAAAAAAATTTCCGCAAGCACCTAGTGTGAATCTTATGCGTAATTATGAAAATTATGCGCGCGTGTTTTGCATCTCCTTTTTTTTTTTTTTTTGTGAATCACAATTCGTTGGCTCAATTTCTTAGATGAGTGGAATTTAATAATTATTTGTTCGGTTCATGCCTAACAATGATCTTGTGACAACAAAAAATGAAGCACGGGAAAACAAATAATGAAGCAAAGAAAAAAAAATTTTTTTTTCCTTTTTTTATTCCTACGCAACGCATAATAAACAGTAGTACTCTCAGATGGTTATGATACTCATATTAAGATTGTAATTTCCGATCCTATGATATAATGATGTGGAGTAACCCGTATTTATGACTTTAAATGCATTCTTTCCTAAACAAGTTTCTTATTTTCTAGAGTAATTAGTTAATGCACGATTTTTTGTTTTCATGCTAGATAGCAAAACGCCATGAATTTTTTTCTAAAAAAAAGGATGGAATAAAAAAAAAGGTTGGAATACCGTGATGTAGATTGTAGTTCCTTTCCAAAGTAAAAGAATTTTGTAACCAAAAAAAAAAGGGATTATATATCAGAAATAGATGATCCATAAATTTCATTGATGAATTTGCGTTATTGGTCTGGTGGATCAAATTACGTTTTAAATTTATAAATCCGTCATAGTTTCATAAATGATTTACATAATCCTATCGTAAATATTACTAATGAACGGGTCGTAATTACATCTAATCAAATTCCTAACCTAATAATATTCATTTATTAGATGGCACAATTAAGTTTACCTAACTTTTATAATCTCTTTTAACGTTTTTAAATCTAAACATCTAAACCTAAACAAATCAACACAATGGTCATACCAAGTTCCGAGTTTAGGTACTACAAAAAAAAATAAAGTTTTTAATTTTAATCATAGATATATGAGATTCGTTTCGATTTGTTACAACTAGTGAAGGTATAGTAATGGCGTACATTTTTTCTATATTTTAATATCACAAGCTCGGTTCCTTATTTTGTTTTTCCTTTTGCATTTTAGGTTTATCTCACGTGCGATGTCGATTTGCTGCGAGACATTCATCACAAGACACACAACGCAACCTGTCATGGGATCATGGATTCCAACCATGTGACATCGTGATCTTGGAAAATTTCGTGATAATGTGATTTCACAATGGGAACATTTTCTTTCTGTGGTTTATTAATTTTTTCCTTTTTCTCGAGAATTTAACGGATTAATTTTTTTCATATGAAAATGACCTTGAATTAGAGTTATGCGCATGACTTTACTACACGGAACCACCTTGTGATCCTGGATTCTCGGTGAGCAAAATGAACCAAATTCGATTCACAAGGCATAAACGACTTGTTTAATTTATATAAATTCGTTTTAGGTTCTTTTTCTCGCTCTGAAGAAATTTTTTACTTGTTCACAAATAACATTATCTTTATTAACTTGTTTACTCTTTTTGTCCATTTTTTGTTTGTTTATGGTGTCTCAAAAATATTTTTGTTCCTCGACGATAAACATTGGTCACAAAAATCAACTGCCTTAAACTATTAGTGCATATTTTTTTTTCGATATTTTTTGTGCATCATTTGAATGTATATTAGTAATGATAATTTAAATATAATTTAAATAATTTAAATTAATAAATATTATTCCAGATAGTCATTCGTTCGTCATTCGTGTTTAATGATTTCGGCCAAACAAGTTTGAGATTTTTTAATAATTTCGAATTGCGAACCAATCCTCTGTTTTACAATGTTTCTTGTTTTTTAAAAGAAAATGATTAACATCGGGTGGGTACATAACAAAATGAAAAATGAATTTATTTATATTTACTTATATTAAAAAAAAAAATGCCTCAACATCCTTATTTTTATTGTTTTGTGCAAATAGTTTCATTGTGAATTAAAAAATAATATCTCGTGTTTTTCAAAAAATATCTAATCAATTTCATGTTTATTTTGGTTCAAGTGACATACAAATGACATGCAAAATTGCCATATTTATTTCCCAAGATCCAGTTTTTTTGATAAATTTTAAGGGAAGGAAGGTATTTCATTCCATTATGGTAAATCTCCATTTCTTTTTAAATTAGCCTGGAATGAAAAAAAATTATTTTTGTGAAATCCAAGTTCGAATTCCATTTTTCGATTTACGTAAATGCATCACATATTCGGCTTAGTGTATACTTTACATATATATAATTTAAGCATGCACGTTCCCTAATTCTAACCACCTTTCTGACCAAAACTGGTCACAAAAATGAACTTTTTCTCCACCATAAAAAAAAAAAAATCTTAAACGTTATAGTTAGTTATTCACTATTAAATGATTCCAAATTTCCAAATTTAAAAAATAAGAAGTTCTTGACGTTATGACAATAAGCGTTTCAAATGATTTTTTTTGAAACTTTGAAAGGCTATATAAAAATAACTTTTTTTTATTTGATTTTAAATAATAATTATAAAAATAATTATTATAATAATAATAATAATAATAAAAAGAATTATTATTGTGATAGAGTATATAGCAAATATAGTACAACATTTATTTATAGGATTTTTATGGGTACTGACAGTTATTTTCGAGATCACAAAAAAAAAATAAAAATAAAATAAAATAAAAATAAATAAATAAATAAATATCCATCAATCAAAAAAAAAAAAAAAAAAAAAAAAAAGGCAGTGATTTGAGACGATAACAAGATAAAAAAAAAATCTCCTCTTTTCATTTGACTTTGAACTTTTTTTTTTTAAAACATCACAAAAAAACAAATTGGTTGGTCACTGCCAAAACATCATTGATAAAAACCGGTTTCCCCTATTCAAAAAATATTTCTATTCTGCGTTTTACCATTTCTTACCATGAATGAATAAAATAAATATCCGTGAAAAAAATAATAAAACGAAAATCATGCCAATTTACCAACAATGAAACTGTAAACAATATATTACTTGCATCCTTTACAAAGTGAAGAAGAATAAAAAAAAAAAAAAAAAAGACTCTAGTTATCAGAAGATTGTAATGGGGGTTGATATAATTTGGATTCCTCAAACAAAAAGGAAGATTGATAAAAGTTCATTTAGTTTGGACTAATTCGCCTTTGTTATTGATTTTAGTCTTGATAACTACGAAATCACAATTCATAATAATTGACCACATGACACAAGGCACAAGACAATTATCACATTTTTTTTTTTTTTACTATAAATTTTTTTTATTATACATACATATATACATTATATACATATCGATATATCCCATTTTTACAATAGAAATATATATATATATCATATGTCCACTGATTCTTATTTGATTGCATTAAAAATCGAAAATGTTATATTGTCCTAATTTTTTTTTTTTTTTTATTTTTTTTTTTATTTTTTATTTATATGGACTATAGTTATTTATTTCATAATATAAAACCCTCTGAAAAAAGTTCAAAAACCCATTAAAACCATTTCAAATCTATCCATTTCTTTTACAAACCAAAAATACATATAATTTTTTTTACTTTTTTTTTTTCTTTTGTAAATTTTTTCCTTTTATTGTACAAACCTATTTTCTCACAAAAAAAAAACAATTCAACGATAATAATAAAATTCAAAATGACTTGTATTTACAAATATAATGGTACCGCTGCCACTTCTACAACGAATACCACTGCACCTTTATCACAAACTGCAGCGACGCATATCGTCGATAACGTTGACGCCTCCGAAGAAGATATCCCTTGTGATGTCTCTACGGAATATAGACCATATAGGCCGCTCCCAAGTGTCATCACAGGTAAGAAAAATACTCGTCACAAAACTATTTGAAATATCTCCTCGTCGAATAATTGCTTACTTAATTATTTATTCCCCCAATTTGGTAATAATAATAAATAGATTTCATTGCGGAAAGCATGTGCGGAATCCTTGAAACCCATCAACCACCAAAATACCTCAGTTGGAACTTTGTACCATTACCCGAGCTGGTATTTTTCGTAGAAAGGGTAACCTTGAAAGCAAAGGTCGATGTTTATACCGCGTTAGTAGCTTTAATTCTCGTCTCTCGTCTTAAAAAACGCTTACCAAAGAACGCTCATGGTGAATACGGTATGTTTTCTTGTTACTTTTTGTGGCGCTTGTGGCGTGTTCTCGACGTGCGCTTTTTTGTTTGGTTGAACTTGTTTAAGTTAGCCGACATTTGTTTTTCGTCTTGAAGCCCAGTTTATGGATCAAAATTACTTACCCGGCAAAAACTTTTCCATTGAATGATATCATTTAGGCACGTGTCATAAAATTTTCATATCGGCGATATTGGTCGCCTCCAAGGAATTCATGACGAGACAACCTTTACAGAAAAAAGAAGTTGAATCACAACGTTTTTATCCTTCAACACCAGTCACATGCCGTCAAACCTCTTCATCTTCACCGATCACATCAACAACGGAAAAAATCCCATTATCCTCATCGGATCCAAATTTATGTTTGTCGGATTCGTCCTCCGAATTCGTTCAATCGCTCAGCAATAACATCTTATCAACCACCCCAACATCAACCGTTTCGTCTTTATCATCTTCCTCATCATTATCAGAGGATGAGATGTTACCCGGTACTCCGCCACCAGCTTCGCCGCCTTCAACACAACATCATCGCGGAAAACGTCGTCAGTCGATAATAAATAAAAAATTGGCCGAAATTTCGGGGATTTACACTTTAGAAGAGGTCAATCAGATGGAAAAATCATTCCTCAAACTTTTGGGTTCTCATAATATTTGGGTCGATGAAAACGATGTGCGTAATTTTCTGGAGAAGAATAAGTACGCTTTGGGAATATGTGAAAGGAGCATCGAGAGGAATTCATGAAGGAATTTTGAATTGGATAAATGTATATTTGTTTTTACGGGCTGATTTTTATGGATTAATTTTTGTTATCAACCATCCTTTCCCCTCAACAACAACAAATTTTGTATTATAAATTTTCTTCCATATAGAAGGCAACAAATTTTAAACTTTTTTTTAATCACATACAACCACAAAGGATTGAAAATTGTACAGAGTTACAATCACACGCGTTAAATACCTTCGAGCCTAATAATAGTAGATTAAATTAATATGGCTCCCGTTATATTGTGTCCACCTTTTTTTTTCCATTTTTTTTTTTTTGAAAATAATAACTAATAATAATAATTAAAAATATTTATGACACAATTTCATTTTCCTATTTTTTTTATCATACAAGGCACAACTTTTTTTAGCAATTTACATTCACAAGTTTCACTCATACATTTGAAATTTCTTTTTTTCTTTTTCTTTTTGTAAATATTTTTTTTATAATTTCTGTTGCCGAAAAATTGTTTGTTTTGAGGGGTATAAGGGTGGTTTTAAGGATGAATTCGAGAAGGAAATTAATTATTTTATGTTTAGATTATTTTGAATGAATAATATTTTGTTTTATTTTTTTTTTTATTTTTGTTTTTTATAGTTATTTTGAGGGGTTGTCTTTAGGTTTATTTTTAATAACATTTTTCGATTAAAAAAATATCCGACTGTTATATTGATTGATCCCTTTATTTGTTTTTTTTTAATTTTTTTTTTAAAAAAAAAAAATAAAAAAAAAACACGAAAAAAATAAAAAAAAGTTACTTGATTACTTGAAAATTAAAAAGTAACGATCATCATTATTCAAGAGTTCTTTTTTTCTGTTTTTTTTTTGGAGTCAATGTAATAAGACTTTCTTGTTTAAGACACCTAGTGTAAACACGGACATTTTTTTTTAAAGGGACACTTTCTATTTTGGTTATAGTATAAATCCTCATGACTAACGCACATAAATTACACCTACATAATTATTAATTCAACCCTTTTATCCATTTACCTTAAAAAATCCCTTACATAATTTTACATAAAGAACGAAATCATTTGATCGCGACCAAATTTCTTTCACAAAAAATATTCATGACATCATCCCTTCTTTAAAATGTCAGGAATCTTCGAATCCATGGCATGAGGTAACATAAAAAGTGACATTGATAGACCAAATGTGGTTCTACCCTTACATCATCGATATAAAATGGTCTAGCTTGTAAATATCTTGATGGGAAAAAAGGATACATCGCTTTTAGGGAAATGATTTTAAGAAGATATTATATTTTGTCTCTTTTTTTTATAATAATAAACAAATGAACTTACGTTTTAGGTTAATCTTGGTTACACACGGAATATGCCCCCCAAAAATCAGCTTGAAAAAAAAATAAAAACGCGAGGTAAACCGTTGATGTCTCTTTCATGATTTCCAATAAAGGTTTATAAGATAAGATGTCTTGTGCGCGTCTTTTTAACGCCAATTCAAAAGGAGATCTTCTGTCGTATCTTTTAATAATACCTCGAATATTGCGACAATAATGTGATGTAATGTAGGTTATTATTCACTTAATCACAGTGTTTTCAATAGAACTCAAATTGGTTTAATACAAATTTTTATCGAATGTGTGTTACAATTGATTGTGATTAGGATAGGATTCATTTAGCAAATAAACCTACGAATCTTAATGTTCCAGCCTCAACACTGACCACAGACCACTTCATGGACTTTAAACGTCCATCATAGATAATTTGCATTATGCATAATAATGTACAATGCATTTACATTGTACGAGGCATATACAAACATGCAATCATAAAAAAAAGAACTTGCTGCGCACCTTAACAAAATATTGTATTGTGATTTTTTAAAAAAAAAACTTTAATTCTTTTTTTAGAAAATCCCCTCATAAATCCATATTTGGAGAGTGTCCCAGAGTATTCATTTGAGAAGGGGTGGGAGAGTTTTCTTTTCCCTTTTCCTTTTCCCTTTGTTTTTTTTTTTTTTTTTTCAGACAGAGTTTTTACTTATCTTTTTATCTAGGCTAAAGTTCTTTCCATCTAAATTAGGTAACAAAGCGTCTAATAAAAAAAAAACTCATCCGGCAAATATCGTTCCATGATCAAATGTTTAAGAGGAAGGATGTAATTTTATGGTAATGTTTGTTCTTTTGTGCACGTGCATATTCGTTTATTTAATTTTATCATTCGTTATAATGAATGTGAGAATAAAATAATAATTCTTTTTTTAAATTCAATCCTATAACAAGCATTAACATGTGATCCGAAGAACTTGAACGCGCCCACCAAATCAAGAAATAAACGAGAATTTATCTTTGTCCGACTTGAATCAAATGCTAAATCGGTAAAGCTTGCCAAATAAGGATCGGGAGAACCAATAATGTTCGCAACAGACTTTTTTTTACCGCCATTTTTTGTATGTAGGAAAATATTTTAAAAGGTAAAATATTAGACTTTTTTTTTTTTTTTACTTTATTCTTTTATTTTATCACATATTTGGTATTTGCATATGTCAAAATTTTTCCAAAAAAAAAAAAAAAGCCAAAATTCAATTTTTGGATGTTTGGCATAATTCCGAAATGGGATGCAATTTTTTTTTCAACAAAAAAAAAAAAAGAATTGTGACACGTTCGATTCATTTATGGTATAAACTTATTCAATTCAGGGATGACATTTACCCCGCAGAAATCAAAATTTATAAATAATTTGAATCATTTGATTAAATTTTGGTTTATTATGGAAGGTGTTGTAGTATTTGAGAAAAAAAAAAAAACTCTCACCATATAAACCAACTTATTTCTTGATTGTCTCTCAAACAATGAAAATTTTCTTTTAGTTGGGTGTAATACAGAAAATTTCTTTTTTTGAAGGAACAAAAAAAAATTTTTTTTAACAATATTAATCCGATCTAGAATTGTGATAATTAAAGTGTTGGTAAAAAAAAATAATCTAATCTATGATAAATTAATCAAAACTCTGGGGTTCACAAAGATGACTCGTTACACGAAAGCAATGGACAACATCTATGCAGAGAACTTCAGACACGGATAATTTATCCTTATCTTCATTGAGCCACTCGGGACTTAAATAAAAACGCCACTTGAACTTTTATTTATAAGATTCATTTTTTTATAGTTATAATTGGACAAGGTTCTGGTTGAGAACTGGTTTTATAAGTGGCTTAGTTGATATCAAAAAACAATGAAAATTTTTTTCGATTCCCCATTATCCGATCATATTATTCTAGGGCATTTTGTCGGTTTTTTTTGAAATTAATTTTTATATCGACTTATGATTATCTGATAGTTGATAGTTGATTAATAATAATAGAGTTTCAGGTGATATATGCTGATCACATTATCAGATTGCTCGCAGAAAAAAAAAATCCATCATATCAAAAATCATTGTTTCGAAATAGTTCCTTCTTTCTTTGCCTTTGCTTGAAGGCGTAGATTTTCACTGTAGGCATTAAATATCTTACATCACTTTCGGTGGTCGTGACAAAATGAGAAACATTCGATTCATCATCAGGGTTGACAGCTTTCTTTAAAAATGATATTTTTTTGGTCTGTAATATTGTAAATTTTCCAAGCACATGAATTAGAGCATATATATGCGTTCTTTTGATTTGGTAAACCTCTCACACGAGGGCAAATAAAACGTTTATCACAAATATAATAAATAATATATTCCTTTTCGTCTTTTGTAATTTTAGAAGATGATGCCGGTGGAGACTTTATTATTGGAGTGGATTTTTGGTTCTATTTTTTTTTTTTTAGTTATTATTCCTATTATTCCGACGAATACAACGGCTTGGTTTAAAAAATACAAGCAATTTATTTCTAAAAAAGAGTTTTTTTAAGAGATAAAGAAAAAAGAAAGAAAAAAAAAGCAACAAAGAAATATACTACATCTAGTTATACCCATTAACGAAGTTTTAAATTTTGTTGGTTATTGCTAATAAATTTTCATTTGAGATATAACTTGTATAGAAGTTTCCGTATTTTGTTAATTGCTATATGGTGATATAATTTTCGTTAAAACTTTCTGAATTAGTTGTGTTTCCGAAACCACATCAAATACCACTTTTGTGTATCCAATTTTTTTCTTTTAAAGTGGAAATTTGTATGTTTCTTGGTTAAATATAATCTTGAATAATTCTGACCGCTAAATCTCGAGTTGCAAAATTAAAAACTATTTCGGTGCCGTTTTCCCACGTAAAAGTCCCAATAATCCGTCAGGTCATCATATTTGGATCAATGATTGACCAAAAATCAGCTAGTTCTACCTACCTCTGATAACTTTCTACCTTTTCAAATAGCAATCGATTTCCTTTGACCTTTAGCATTTGAATATTTAATAATTAATATTGAAAGATCCAATGTGTCCATAATTTCCTTTGCTTGTCTATAACAGTTAGAAATTGTTGATTATCTTTGGCCTCATACCTTTCCATAGTTGATGGTAAAATTATGATCTTAAATAAATAGTTCTTATACTCATTGGATTGCTCATTTTCGTTGTTCTTGTCTTTAATTTTTCCGATTTAGTAAGGATCGCCAGATCTATCGTGATTTAGTTCGAAAAGACCATTAGTTAATAACATTGTTAGCTACAGCAAGTTAGTTAAGCGGCACTTTCGTGTTGACCAATTCGAGGCTTATCTTAAATGTTTAATGTTATTCCCTTCATCTAATGATACCAGCGTGAATACCAGCCGCTGTAGTCAGAGTCGACTCAGTTGTCGACTCTGCAGAAAAGCAAGCAGATTCGACTCCGGAATTTTCAAATGACTGGGCCATGGACTTGAGTCGCTGCTTTCCAAATTAGATATAATGTCAGAACATCTCAATTAAACAAATTTTTAACCTAATGTGATCCTGATAAATTTATTTCTGACGAAAAACTTATAATTATCTAAGTTTTTGAAAAATTAATAAAATTTAAAAAAAATTTTTTTGTTAAATATTAAGATGTTAATTATAAAAATCATGGTTGCTAGTTTCAAATGAAAAGAGTCTAATGACTAACTGAGCCGACTCCAAAAGTTTTCACGACTGATCCTACTATCTTCACCTAAATTGGGTTATGAGACCAAAAAATGGCAAGGTTAATTAATATAACAAAAGAAGAAGCCATTATCTAGGTCGGTAATAGTGATTTTACTGTAAGTAGCGAAAACTTAGTCAAATTTTTATTTCGGAAAACAAACATACTGTAGGAATTAAATATAAATAATTATTAATACAAATAAATGTACAAAATTTTCTTAATAAAACTGATAATTTTTCATAAACTACTTGCGACATGCGCATGAACCCAGTAATAAGTCATTTGATCCTGTATTCAAGTTTATAGTATTAAAGGCACATTACAATCGGATATGATTTATCAACATCTATGCAATTACCTTAATCATTTTCTGCCCTGCTGTCCATAACCGAAAATTGGAATTAAGAACAGTAATAATATAATAATTTTGAACAATTTTTACCTTCGATGACCGGAACAAATGCTATGTAGATACAGATGATTGGAGAATTCGAAAGCGTAGTGTTTTAATTTAAATGACAAAGGATTGGATTCACAAGTGATCTTTAGCAGGATTAAATGTGTAGGTATTTATAGTTCCATTATTAATTTGTTTTTATTATTAAATTATATTAATTTTTTTTAGATAACAAACACAAAATTTAACTAAAAATTAGGTATTTCAATTAAAAGTTCCAGACATAAATAAGGCATTTGGTTCGATAATTTATTAATCAATGTTCTGATGTAATTGATGTAATTTCGAATATTTAATTTTTATTTAAACGAATATTCGAATATTCCTATTTTAAGGGCATACCTTACTACATATAGGTCGTTGATATGGTTCAAGTCGGAATTTATCGTCGCTTGACAATTATATTTTGTACATGTACACTCAAATTATTACTAATCGTAAAACACGCATACACAATTTTTAAATCAACAAATCTTTATTATTATGTAATACGAATACATGAGAAAAGTCTGATGGCTAAGTAAGAAACAACGTATTGAAAGAAAGATAACAAGAACATGAACATCGTTAAGCGATTCCTTTCCATTACTCAATATAACTTGATTTACGTACTAATAAAACCATTGTATAAATTTTTTATTGATTCCCTAATCATGTCATCTTTCGTTCATAAGCCTATAAAACAGTTATTTGATCCATAACGCGAAGCATTTTATTTTATTTTATTTTTTTTTTTTTTGTATTTTGGTATCATCACAAATTAGTCATAATAGTTATTTTTTAATAAATTTTTTATTTAATAAAGAATGTTGAAATGAAATCAAAAAAAAAAGATCATTCTTTATAAATATATATAATAATAACTAGATTATACTCACGCTTTTATAAGTTTCAATTATAGTTGCTGGCATGATAAATCATTAGATTTATAAAGCTAATATCGTAATTCATTTGCTTATTAATATTATATTTTGAACGTTCATAGAATATGATGATTCTTCTCGAATTCTGTGCAAGAAACGGTACAAGAGGTCCTAATCGTAAATTTGCATCTAAAGCAATTTGTCACTTTACTTAAGGATCAATGGACACAATTATCAAAATACTCATGACTGTAATGGAAGTTTAAATCGTGACTTATTATTATAAAGAGACGTCTTCAAAAAGGGGATGTTAAAGAGTCCTATAGGACCAGGTCCTAACCAGTCTTATGAAGTTTAAATTCCTTTGAACTATAGAATATACAAAATATAGGACTGTAGTCCAATATAAATTAGGACTTTCAATCCTAGGAATGCGAATTTATATATATTAGTACTTGTGATGATTCTAGAACCATATTCAATAATTTAAAAAAAAATTTACCCTAAAATTAAATCGATCAAAGAAGAATGATAAAAGTCTTTATGATTCAAGTTGAACGATAACGAATAACCGTTCGAAAAAATGAATTGTTGTTCTTGAACGATGTTTGAATTTTTCTACGTCATATTCATTAACCAATCACAATTTTCAAATTATTTGAAATGTAAATTAATCAAATTATTTTCTCAGAAAAAATCAACTAAAATATATATATATATCAAAAGATCATATAAATTTCAGTATATAATGTTGTCATTGAGACGGACGGAACAGTCCGTGACATGTCCAAGAATTTTAGCAACATCCGGAATTAAAAATGCCGTGATATGAAATTTGGCATTTAATAACCACTAATTTAAATGGATTATAGCTCATTAGAACCGTCTTATAGGCTAATCGAATGGTTGTCCTTTTAAGTCTCTAGTATTAATATTGACGAAAGTGGTAGTTTAATGTTTTTTAATTATTTTCTTATTTGTATATTGGACAATTCTTAGACGGGAACATTCCAGGACATTAAATTTTTGGCGGGATGTGTCACAGCTGGCACTTTCTTTCAATGATTCATGTATCCTATTCACTACTTCAGCCCCCTCCCCCCCACCCACCCGGAAGTGTATGCGCGCTTCTTTTGGCAAAGAAACTGTTTCAGGTATTTTTACCAGGGCTTCGCTTAAGTTCTATAGCAGTAGCTTTTCGGAAACGGAGAAGAATGTTCGCAGTAGGCCGTCCACCGTACGCCAGGTCTGAATACCTGACTGGTAAACTGTGGCTTTCATTTCTCCGGTATTACACCTAGTGGCAGCATAACTTCAAATACATAACAACTGAATAAAGAATTCTGTGATATTCAATTCTCAAAATTCGACATATTTCCCTTTCGAATTCCTTGCTGAAGATAACATATGGGTCATGGACTAACAAAATGCCCCTCCGGTAAATTATTGCTTTTTTGAGAAATCAGAATTTAAAATTTTATCGTTTTCATTGTTTGCAGTTTATTTTTTAGAACAAAATGCAATATGATGATCAATTTATATGTAATGTGATACAAATTTTTATATTTTATGTCATTAAAAATGCATATTATTCCAATTTTAGATTGTCGATCTTTTTTGAAAAAGAAAGTTTTATATGAATATTTCTAAAATCATAAAAAAAAAATTTTTGACAAAAGGCATTTTGCTATTCTATGACCCCCATATTGATGAAGTTATTAAGGAAGTTTGTTTTATTATTATTATTTTTTTTAAAAAAAAAGTGAAATGAATTAAAAAAAATAGTATTTCTCAATATTTTGTTTGTTTACAATGAAACTTAATCTTATTAATATTTTAAAAAACGACGAAAATTTCTTATTCACCTGATTTGAATTTTTCAAATTTTCTTTTTTGTCGAGAATGTAAATTTGAAACACCTTTTAATTGTAGATTAGCAGATATTTGTATCACTCTCAGAAATTAAAATTGCATTACCGTAGTCCTGATGTTCAATTTGCTAACAATTCTGACATATCTATTAGATTGATTTTTTGGACTTCTCGATAAGTTAGGACTTCTCAAAATAATGGAAATTATATGTCAAAATAATATAATAAAGCGATTAATAAGCATTATCATCAGTCAAGTCGTAAGAATTGGTAATCCTGCCAAGAATTCCACAACTAAGACATGAAAAGGAAATTTATTATAAAAAGAAAGGTTTTTTGTCTTGATTTTGATTAGAATAATATAGTTTTCTTTTCTCTTTAAGCCTATTACAAAACACCAGCAGAGGCAGTAATAGTTGCATTTATTGTATTTACTTCATATTTTATCAAATAAATTATTTTCTTTATTTTTACTTCAATAAAACTTTATTTAAATTCTTTTGCATTTGATTTACATATATATTTGTTACAATACATTGTGTTTTCTAAAATATCTAATAAAGACAATAAATTAAATTGACTTATTAAATATAAATCACATTTTTACGAATTTAGAAGGTGATACTTACATGATTAGCTATTACACAAAATTGTATAATATGCCTTTTTATATAATTTAAAGTAATATAATCAGTTGTTAAATCTTTAATATAATAATAAAAAAAACTACAACAATATATTTCAAGATGCCTATTATGTTGTTTTAACAGTTTTCAACATATATTTTTAACAATTCTGAAAATTATATATAATAAAAATTCTGAAAAAAAAACTTACTAAGCTATGCATTATTTGTGAAGAAGAGGGATTTGAAAAACTTTTTGATGATTCACAGCAGACATTAAATATAAAGACTTGTAGAATAAAATTTTAGATTCTACTTGGAAAGTAAATATCATCCAATTTTATTATAATTACTACATGAGTTATATAAGCCCTGTTCATTTCTAGACAGATATGATTGATTGAAAATTAAAGTCTTATATGATTGGTTGCTGATGCAATCAGAAGGTTAATCAATGTAGACAAAATTTTTGTAATTTATCTTAATCAATCTTTTTATGCATCACATCCTTATACATGTCACTTTCTTGAAATAAAAATGTCTAATTCAAATTTCATTACTTTTCATTCAATTATTTCAAAATCACCAAATTCACAAAAAATATTTTTATAAAATCCAAATATTTTAGATGTAATATTTTGTCTTTTATTTCTTTAGCTTCTTTTCTTTAGATCTTATTACTTCCTCAATTTATATAATTTACTTCACAGTTATCTTTACCTAAAAACTAAGAAAATATAAATCAACTAGTTGAATCTACTTTAGCTTTTGTATTATTTATCAAGCCAAACATTTATAAAAAAAAAGGAATAAAATCTTAAAGAAAAAAATACCTCTCAATCTGCTAAAGATGATGAAACAGGATAGTGTAATAAAATATAAAATTATTACTAAATTTTCTTAAAGAAAATTTTGCAAGCTATAAAAAAATAAATTAAATTTTACTAAAAAGATTTTTACTCAGGTTTTTTTAGGAAAATTATGGAAACAAATTAAAAATAATTAGCTTATCTTGTAACTAATATAATGATATTAAAGAGAAAGAAAATCAAATAGGAAGAGAAACACAAGGCAAGTAGAAATAGTTTGAAAGAATTAACATTTTATTTGGAACATGTAAAATCATAATCCAAGTTTTTTATTATATGGTTTTTCTAATGATATTGATTTATTTAATAAATTTGAAGAGGAAAAAGAAGTTAAAGAAATTATAGAAATTAAAAAAGAAAGTAATGAAAGGTAATCAAAGTGCTAAAAAACAAAAATTATATTTGCAAGATTTATAATTGATGCAATGATTTCTATGAATAATATGAAACAAATAGTTTTGGAAAAATGACTTGTTTTTAAAAATGAACAATTTGAAAAAATGTAAAAATGAAAAAGAAATTAGGAAAACAGAAATGGTTTTTAAGAAGGAAGAATTAGCAATTGGAGTTGATATATTGCAAAAAAATGAAATTTGACATAAAATAATCAAGAATAGAATTTCAACTTAGAATAAAGGAATTAGATATTAAAATGTTATAACTTAAACCATTTTTAGAATAGCAAATTAATAGTAAAATATTATAAATTTTAATCATGTAATAATAATAATAAACTTTGAAATTTAATAAATAATAAGTTAATATATTCTTTATAGTATTAAATTTGCTCTACTATCTACGTTTACAATGTTTACAATAAATAAAAAAATAATTTTTATTATATAATTTAATCAAAGTTATAATAGCAATTAAAATGATTAAATTATTTAAATTAGAATAATAATTGAATTATTGTATTATTTAAGTTAGAATGATAATAATTATATTATTTTAACTAAATGATAATGATTGTATTATTTAATCTAGAATGATAATGATTGCATTGTTCTAACCAAATGATAAAGATCAAATTATTCAAGTTAAAACTATAATGATCACATCATTCAATCTAAAATAATAATAATTACATCATTTTAACTAAATGATAATGATTGCATCATTCAAATTAGAATGATAATAATTGAATCATTTAAATAGGGCCTTGGGAGATAGCAATAAGTTTAATTATCCCAAGAATGATAATGATCATATCATTTAAATTATAATAATAATGATCATTCAATTCTTATATATATATTTTTTCATATTTACATTTAAAAAATATTTTAAATAACCTTTTTTATATTATTAAATTTTGTGATTTTGATTGGTCAATCAACAATTACAGGGGTTTAAAATTTTGTGTAACCTAGAAAGTAGATAGGATTATAGTAACACTGTTTGACCTTTGTGAATACAGGTACAAAAAGACAGTGCTAATCTAAGACGAATTGATTATGGAGAGAATTTGTGATGATGCCAAAATCTGAGCTAATAATAGAAGGAATTAACTTGACATCAAAGGTTAGTAATAATAAGAAATTATTTTTTATACAAAAAAAAAATTGCTGATTTATGATTAAAAGTTATTTTATGTGGATATAAAATCAAAGCAACTATTATTTAATTCTCAAATTGCAAATTAATTACTTGAAACGTGTGAAAAATTTAAATAAAAAAAATAAAACGATATTAATAAAATTAAGCCAATCAAAATTAGTGATAATTAGGAAATGATCACCATACAAATTGACCAATCATACAAATGTCTGCTATGCTGATGAACGTAATGTTTTTTTTTCACTTCAGTCGGCTGTTTAGTTTTTCCCCTCTATAGCACTGCAGTTGGCCTGCTATCCAACTTTATTATATTTTTTAGATAATGTAACAAACTTGATCGTAATGGTCTTTTTTTTTACGGCTGCGTATTTTTATACTTTACGACTGCAGTTTACGCATGTGTGAACTCTAAAATACAAATTATTGGAAAAGGATATGAAACGGTAAATTAATATTAGCGTAATGAGGAATTGGCACTTCGGTAGTATTAAAATAACTTTTCAAAAAAAAATTTTTGAATCAATAATTGTGAATTACCTCTTTTGAGTATTTTTAGCCAAACAAGAATTGTGTTCAATTTATTTGATAATATAGCTTTCTAATTCTATTTCAAATCATTAATGAGTTGTTGCAAAACTAATTCTCTTTTTCAAGCATCCTTTAAAAATTGTAAGTTAAACTCTTTTTACATTGTATTCAACATACATACCAATTCATTGCGAAGATGATCATTTATTTATATGCAATTATCGTATCTAAGGAGCGGTGTTATTTTTGTGAACGCTTCTATGGTTAATTTCAAAATTTTTCATTAGAACTTTACATACTTTACATCATTATAATTATTGAAACATAAAAATTTGAGTATGTCGAGCGCTCCAAATGCTAGGAATATTTGATTATTTTGCATATTAAAACATCATCACCATAAGGTTCCACCATTTTTTGTTGCACCAACCAAAGGTCTATTTCCAAAGGTACAGTAAATGCGGAGATGTTTATATATATGGCAGTTTTTGAATGCCTGGAACGAAATTTTCATAGTAATCATGAGTCAACTTAAAAATGACACTCCAGATCAGCAAATGCAACCCGTTGTTAAAATAAAAAAAATAAAACCTAAATATAAATTTAAGCAATGTATAGAGTGTAAAAAAAGAAGAAAACCCTATGAAGAAAATAATAAGCTTTGCTGTACTTATTATAAAGTAAATACAATAAACTTTATTCCAAGTGGAAATAAAATTATTAACGATTTTATCGAATGTACTCATAAAACTTTTGATAGTAACGATAGAAGTAGAATGGAGTTTGTTCCATATGATTAATTCCAAAATATAGAATTTATTGGTGAGGGAGGATTTAGTAAAGTTTATAAAGCTATTTGGATTGATGGTCCAATTATAAGTTGTAATAACAAAGAAAAAAAAATATAATCAGGATCCTAATAAACTAGTTGCTCTTAAGAAACTTAACAATTCTATAAAATTTACTTCCGAAGTGTTAAACGAGGTACATATAGATATTACTTTTTTTAATTTATTATAATACATGTATATACTAAGTTAATAATCTTTTTTTTTTTAGCTTAAAATATCTTATCAATTGAGAAAAGTCAATTTTAATATTATCGACTGTTATGGAATAACGCAAGTTCCTATTACCAAAGAACTTGTAATAATTATGATTTATTTTAATAAAAGAGATCTATCCCATTATATAGCTAAAGATTTTTTTGATGTTAGTTGGTATACAAAGTTAGATCATTTATATTTTATTGCAGTTGACCTATTAGATATTCATAAAATAGTATTATCTACCGTGATTTTCATAGTAGAAATATTTTGATAAATGATGATTACTATTGCACTAAAATAGGTGATTTAGGATTAAGTAAATCTGCTACAGAAGCTGAAGATAGTGAAATCTATGGAATTATTCCTTATATAGCACCAGAAATAATTCAAGGAAAAAATATAAAAAATATACTACAGCTTCAGACATTTATAGCTTTGGTATGGTTATGTGGGAATATATGACAGGTAGAAGACCTTTTTGGGATCGTGCTCATGATACTGAGCTGATTATTGATATTTGTGATAGGTTGCGTCCTCCAACAGATGACATAATAGCACCTAATGGTTATATTGAGCTAATGAAAGAATGCTGGGACCCTAACCCAAATAAAAGGCCAACAGCCAAAGATAGTAACATTGGATCTAAAATTTATGACATTCTACAAACTGAAAGTAAAAATCCAACAGATATTGTAAAATCATCAGAAATTGGACCTATAACAACAAACAATTCAAACGCTATTTATAAGAGTAGATCTTTAAGTAATAAAATATACTCCGCAAGAAGCTTATAAAGTTGATCCATTTCTTCAGATATTGGTAATTAAAAATTGATTTTTAATAACCAGTTAAATAACACATTTTGATATGCTAAATCAATAACCTTTTTTATTTTTTAAAAAAAAAGGTAAAAGAAAGTTCGAAAGCGATAAATTTGAAAGTAATAACGGTAAAATGATATTTTAATAAATTTACGATTCAAGATAATCAAAAAAAAAATAACATTAATAATTGAATGTATCTGTATGATTTTTATAGATAAAGGCAATAAAAAAATTAAATTATTGAAAGATGAAACTTATATGTCAAAAGAATTGGAATATGATATTAATACTGCCTAATATGTAATAATAATTGTAAAAAAAATTATTTATTTTATTGTATACTTATTTATCTCTATGACAAACCTTATTTATTATATTCGTTAAATAACTTACTTAACCTGATTTTTTTTATTCATGATAAACTTATTTGAAACTATGATATTTATTTTTAGCGATATATTCATTTTATTATTGATGTATGGTAAAGCTTTTATTATTTCTTTTAATAAATTAATAACTTTTTTCCTGATTATTCATTTGGCAAATATAAAACTGTACTATAGATTAGTAATTGCGTTTAAGTATCCTTTTTCGAGATGATCTAGTGCAGGCAAAGCATTTTTTTTTATTATTCTTCAGCCAAACAATTATTAGCCAAGAAAGACAAATCCGTAGTAAAAGCATGAAGTATTAATTTTGGTAAATTAATTTTGGTAAAATTGAGAAACATTCACAGTTGTAGCCTTGGAAGTAGCCAAATCCTTCTTTAGGAATTGGATCAATTTTATGATGCCTCGACCAAAAATTATTTGTACTATTCAAGAATATTATTTTCGTAAATTCAGAGAAAGGAAGTCATAAAAAGTTTTGTAAACACTAAAAATATACTTAGAAATTGCCTATTAAGGGATAAGGAAAAAATAATTAGTAAATATGCTTCAAAAAAAAACGTGTTGAAATTTGCTGACTATCAAGCAAGGATTTAATTAATTTAATATTTTTTTTTGTTATGCAGTTAACAGAAAGTTTAATTATGTTTAAACCAGGGCTGGGAAATTGGACAATATGTCCAAAATTATTGTCCAATTATCCAAAACTGCTTTTTAAAAAATATAGTTTTGGACAATAAGTTTTGGATATAATACTATATAATAATTAGCATTGAAAATTATCATATTATTCAAATATTACAATTGACTTAGTATATACTTTATAAAATACATTTAAAGATTATATATTCAGGTATTTCAAGATTATTCACAAACACATCACGCAAATCCCATTTAGTATTTTCATTTACTACTATGATTCTAATAATTCATTATTATTAATTGTTCACTATTTGCTAATAATATTCAGTTTGTGCTGTTATTTTTTTGTTCTAATATTTCATACTATTCATATAATTATTCATTTCATTGTTTAACAGTTGATATATTTTCTTGCATTTCATGATAATCATCTAATACAGCTTTATGATTTATATGTTGATCATTATCTTGAATTGGTAACGCATTATCAGTTTTAGAAGTTGTAAGATTACATTTTCTTTTTTGTTCAAAATTGAGCTGAGTACAAATCTGTCTCATTTTAACAACCTTTTCAAACTTTAAGAATTGTAAATTAAATAAATTTATTATAAATAATTTTCAAATAAACTAAATATTTGTAAAATATTTATCTTTAAAGCATTTCAAGATGGTATGTAAAAATTTATTGTACAAAATAATCTTTTACATAATGCAAAAATTTATATAAATACCAAAAATTTTAATAGTTACTGCATTCAATTCTTGAGATTCATTTGAAAAAATTTCCAATAGGTAAGAATATCATTTTAAAATTAGGTATAAGTAATTTCATTAAAATAATATTGCTTTCTTCTATGCTTATTTAATTTTGCAAGAAGTTTTGTTGGATTTTTTTATATCATTACCTTATAATAATAACTAAGCCAATGTTTAAAAGTAATATAATTAACAGTTTTTATTAATAGGTTGAATTTTATTATTTAATGTTAAGAATATAGAATTAAAGAAGAATAGTAAAGATTATTTCTAATTATATCATCCTATTTATAATTATAAAATCATTTAATAAGTGTTTGATTAAGATATTCTTCTCAAAATTTCAAATAATAATATCATATCAAATAATCTGCCTTGTTAGATTATAATTTATCTAATATATTGCAAGTTATTGAATTCTAATTTACTAATTATTATTAAGAATTATGACATAAAATTATAAGATAATTACTTGTTATTCCATATAATATGAAGGATAACTAGGTTATTTATAGGTATAGATATAATCACATATATATAAACGTATGTGATTATTATATAATCCAAGTTATCTATAATTTTATATAGAATAATAAGCTTATCTCATTATATATGATATATACACTAGTGAAATTATTATTACTTTACTTCATACCTTTATTGTTATCTTATAAAATTAATTTTTATCACATGGAAGCATTTTCAGTAAAATCACATTACAGATTATATGATTTACTATGCCTTATAACTTGATTTTACTGAAAATGTTCCTATATTATCTCGTAAAAGAAACAATTTATATTATAATAAAACTAAAAGCAGATAGATATTGTGCAAAAATTCTAAGTAAAATAAAGGAAACAAGAAGCCAATTATATTCTAGATTTATAAATTTATACCAAATTTAGAAATTGAATCTAGAATATTCTTTATTCACGCCTCAAAATTTAATTGGTAGTTGATAATCATTTTTTTAAAAATTTTGAAACTTTAATTAATCATACAAAAATTTTTTTATAAAAATAAACTATCAAAATATATTCTTTTAAATATATAATTCATAATCCATGTAGATCTACAAAATTTTACAAAGCAGTTTTTAAATTGTTTTTAGAATAAAATTATATTATATTATTACCTAACTAATGATTAAGCAGACTGAAACACGTAATCAATTGAATAGCAGTAAGATTTAGCTCAATCTTTATTAAGTTTTGGGAGAGACTTCGGTTAATTCAGGTTTCTGTTGACTTCAGTATTCTTTCACAGTTAAGTTTCAGAATTGGCAAGTATGACGACTTCCAATTCACTTCAGGTGACTCGTAATTTCTTAAGAAGTTAAGAAATTACCTTGATGCCATTATAATAAATTATTATAACCAAATGGTGACATACAGCTCAAAGTATTTGCAATATCAAATACTTTAACTTGTTGATGACTTTTAACACAGTTGATAACGTTTAAGTAATTTAGAATTTTACTTAAACCAAGATTGATGCTAAGCAGGGTTGATGACGTTAAGTAATTTACGATTACTTAACCAAGGTTTTCACAAAGCAAATTGATAACATTAAGTAATCCAGTATTACTTAACCAAGGGTTAACACAAAGCAGGTTTTGACACAAAGCAATTTGTTAAAAGACAATTTAGCAAAGAGTTTTTATTAACTTATAAAATTTGCTTCCTAAATTTCTATCGATATATGATGAAAAACTCAGCTTATTTATAATAAAATTTCTACACTAAATTGCTATCTATTGC